CAGTGGTTCAGGAAAAAGTCATGTCGGAAGATTAATATCTGAAAAATTTAAATTCCATTTTATCGAAGGTGATAATTTTCATTCATCGACAAATATCGAGAAAATGTCATCAAATGTTCCGCTTACTGATTCAGATCGACAACCTTGGCTACATTCAATCAAAAACGCTATTATTAGAAAATTATTTGTTAATAATGATGACTGCAGCGGAATTCGTGGTGTTGTAGTTACATGTTCTGCTTTAAAATATAAATATCGCGAATTTCTAAGAAATTTCGATCTCAATAATGATAATGATAATGTGGAAGTATGGTTTATATATTTAAAGACAAGTAAGAATGTATTAGAACAAAGATTATCAATGAGAGATGAGAATAAGAAAGAGGAAAAACATTTTATGAAAATTCAGATGCTTGAATCTCAATTATCAACATTGGAAGAACCAACAGAGGAGCCAAGAACTATTATTATAAATAGTGATAATTCAATGGATAAAGTTGTCGAAGAAACCTCCATTAGTATCACGAAAATAATTGAGAGATAATGATTGTTTAACCAATAATAATAATAAATTGACAATTTTAGTACTAAGCCCTGAAAATCCATCATATGGACATTCAATGTTATTAATGCAAATGGCATATATATTCAAATATTTGAATAGGGCCCTGAACAAAACGATCAGAGCTTCGTTTCCACATATTAATCGGCAATCGGCACAGATTTTTTTATAGTGTCAAAGCTCATTTGACCGTCTGCGGTTACCATCAATGAAAAAAAAATTTTTTTCTAAATCTTTCACTGATTAATTTTAACCACTTGGGCCTTGGGCTGACAAAATGTTATAGATGGCCAAGCAAATGTATGTGTGTTACCCATTACTGTATATTAATATGCATCATTCAGGGTCTCTAATAATATTATTTGACCAGAAGATATTTGTTACGTAACTTTTTTATAAATTTTGAAAACAATCTCCAATGATGATTATATTTGGTTTGTCAAAAAAAGCCCATGTTACATGTGAACATGCTTCTAAGTATGTGTGTTTGTTTATTTTTTTGAGGGAACTTTAAATTTATATTTATGTTAAAAGTGTACACATATAAATGTTTAAATTTTTAATCATAATCAAGATTTTTAATTTTTTTTTTATAGAGAAATCTTATATTGCAAATATTACATATTAATATAGAAAAAACTTAACTAAAATTGAAAAAAGAGATAAAAAAATATATCTATTTTTTTTTATTTTCTTAAATTCTTATATACGCGCACACAATACTTTAATTTAAAATTTTTAAAAAATATTTAAATAATTAGCTTATATTATTAATTTTGGGAAGAAAACAAAATAAATTTCGTCAATAAAAAAAATATTTGTCATGTGTTTATTTTTTTTTAAATTCATACATAAAAAAATTCATTCTAAAATTTAAAATTTTAATGCACGGTTGTTGAATTTATAATATAGTCCACATTCATTTTATTAATATTATGACAATCATCTCTTCTGCAATAACTTTGTTGATTTTGTTGATATGATTCGTCGCCCGATGATGTATCTGAAAGAAAGAAATTGGAAATGTGATGAATATATAATTAGAGATATGTCACAATCAAACTTATATACATAACATAAGAATTATTATTACCAAAATTCGCTTCCAAATCATCGATAGATTTATGAAATTTTTTGGATTTATTTTTTCGTACATTTTTTACACATGGGATATTACGTTTTTTGCATCTAGCACACTCGTTACCATCAGAGCATTTTTTTTTTATCCTTCTGCATTCCGCGCATGCAACAAGAACATATTTTGCACGTTCATAAGGAGAAGAAGATGCACGTTCATAAGGAGAAGAAGAAGATGCATGTACCATGATTGCAGTCAATATTTTTTAAAGACGAAAAAGTTATTAAGTGTAAAGGATGATTTTGTTCCAATATTTTCTTAAAAAAAAGATTATTTAATTCTCGACGACGACATCTTTATATAATATTCAAGTTTTCTATAGAACAATCAATTTTAATTTTTTTGGAAATTTCTATATAATCAACAGCAAAGAAAAATCCATATTTCTATATTAAAAAACGGAGCTCTTTTGATTATATAACGGACCATTTAAGCAAATTTGTCGGAATTTTTTTAGTTTTGAATCAATATGATTTTCACAAATATTGTTAATTCAAGTTTTATCGGAATTTTTAAGTAGTACGTTTTGAACAAATTTAGTTATATATGAAAGAATGGCGGAACAATTTTAAGGTTACGTTACATGATTCTCCTATCACTTTCTTTTTCTTGCGGTAAACTTAGTAGTACAATTACGAGCTTCGTGCATCATCGTTATTATCATCATCATTATAATTTACCGGATATGTTGTGGATAAAGGTTTAATTTTTGTTATTGTAAAATGTGGGTCATTTAATTCGTGTAACGTCTGTTAAAAAATAATCTAAAGATCCCGATATTAAATTTTAAAATTTTATCGCTTCTCAAAAATAATTAATGTATTTTTTTATAAACGATGTTAGTAACTCTTTCTTTGACCAAATTAATATTCATTAAAGAAGCTGAAAAAAAATGAATAAATTTCCTTTATGGAAAGTTATTTTATTCAGGTTAGTTGGTAAGAAATAATATAAAAATAGATTTGATTATAATATGATAAAGGAATAATTATGGTAATAGGCGAAGAATGATCTCTGAATGGTACGTAGTTATATTCATTGTCACAGATCAAAGGTTATATAATTATACGTAATCTGCAATCAAATCATTGTATAATCAATATCGTTATACCGGAATACATTGTTGAAAAATATAAAAAATAAAAAAAAAATAATATATATATATATCTCTTTGCTAATAACCGAGAAGTTAGTTGGTCAGATAAAAATCAAATGACTGAGATAAAAATTAATGGAACAAATGATTATTTTCGAAACAAACCTTTTTTTTTTTGAATTTTCGAAAAAGAAAAGATTCATAAATTTAAATTTTAATAATAAAAAGGAAATATTAATGCGTGTATACGTGTAAAATTAAGATTTTGTTATGTAACATCGTGTACATTAGCTAGCTAAACTGGTAAATCATAATTTTAATTTAGCAAATGTTTGCGATAATGTGAAGAAAATATCGGGAAGTAAATGGGTCATTCGAGCTTTTTATGTAAATCAAGGCAAAACTTTTACTAGTAATGTAAATACTAAGCAATTATTGATAATAATAATAATAATATAATTGCTAAAAAAAGAAAAAAATTAATTGGTTGCTTCTTGTAATAAATATTAATAACACATGGCATGGCCGAAGAAGACAAATTTAGATAATAACAATGACGATTTTCTTGAGTGCTGAATTAATGAATTCGTTTAATAATTTGTTGTTGAAATTATAAATACAGAGAATTTTTGATCGATGGTTTTTCTTCCAAGCAAATTATGATAGCTTAACATATGAGATAAATATAAAGATATAATTATTTGAAAATAAATAATAATAATAATAATAATAATAATAATAATAATAATAATAATAATAATAATAATAATAATAATAATAATAATAATGGGTCCAAAAAATATTAAACAGACAAAAAATTGTAATAAAAAAACAAAACGAACAAAAGTTGCATGTGGTGTATGTCGATCGAAGAAAATCAAATGTACAGAAGGTGAAGTTTGTAAATATTGCAAAAAACGCAATCTTCAATGTGTCAGAAAAGTAATTAAAGAGATTGAAGAAATTGAAACCAAAAACATTGATGTCTTTGGAGTTTTTGATAAAGATATTGTCAAAAACGTTCTTGGAAATAATGATAATAATAATAATCAAGATGATGATGACGAAGGCACGTGTTTTTTATTATTAGTACGCAAAAAAGTATTGTATGACATAATTAATTCAAAAAATTTTTTAACTTTTATTTTTTTAAACAGTTTCGTTTGAAAAACTGTTGGAACATAGGTTTGAAAATTTCGATGATTTTGAAGATTTTATCTCTCTTATGAATCGATTGCCACCAAGAAATATTTTGTTCAAGTGTAATGGTAATGACCAGTTTATAAATTATCAATTTATAAATAATAATTTATTATAATATATTATAATAATAATAATAATTTATTAATTAATTTATAAATAATAATTTATTGTAAATAATTATAAATTTATAAATAATTATAAAATAATAACTTATAAGTAATTATGATTATAAAATAATATAAATTATATAAGAAATATATAAAAAATATATAAACAATATAAAAAATATATACATATAGAGTAAAAATATATAGAATAAAAATTTATAGATAGACTGTAGAATTAATATAATTAGGAACTATTTTGTAAATTTTAACACATATATTAAGATCGTTGCAAAGATTTTTTATTTATTTTAATTTAAAATTAATATGTTAGTTACAATAATTTTTATAATATACATATATAATGATTGATTATGTATATTGTATATTATAAATAATAAATGTGTTATTATTTATATTATTTATTCTTTTTTTTTTTTTTAATATTTCTAATTTTTTTTATTTTAAATATCGCCTTCTAACTTTATTTCCTACTATTCGGAAAATATAAATTATATAGTTCACTGAACTTGAATGAAAGATAATATACTTATATATCTATATAAATAAAATATAAATATAAATAAATAATACGACGTAAAAATAATTGTGGAAAATTAAATTTGTATAAAACTATCATAAATTTCCGCCTTATTTATTTGGTTGGAATATTTTCATATTTTTTTTATAAAATCGGAACCACAATTCATCTCGTTCAATATATATTTTTTTCATCTTAAAAATATATATATATTTCATTGCTTCAATAATTAATGCTCCTCTATTATTTAAAAATCAAAAAAAAAAACCAAAATAAAAAATAAAACTTCTAACCAATTTAAGTTAATTGTTCTTTAACAAAACATAAAATTATCCAACTAAAAAACGAACAAACAAATGAATCCTCATACGGATAATTTGGCCATCACGTTCGATACAAAAAATGTAAATGAAGGTCTAACAACTGCTTGTATTAATATTCCACCAACGATCAGTGAAACGATTGGTATAATAAAAAATGGAGATGAAGGGGAAAGAGCTTATGTAACAACCGCTTGTTCTCGTTGTCAGAAACGTCACATAAGGTGCGATGACCAAAGGCCTTCATGTCAAAACTGTAAAGAAAAGGGTTGTGAGTGTATTCGTATTCAGCCGAAAGTTTCGCGTGGCCGTCCCCAAGGTACGCTTAATGGACAGGGGAAATCCCTCAAAAAAATTACAAACAATATAGCTGGGAAGAGAGCTAGAAAACCTAGGAGAAGGCAATCGACCAAATCTAGCGATGTCAAATATAACGATGTCAAATATAACGATGTCAAATATAACGATATCATAAAAGAAATACTCAATCATGAAGGTGTTGTTGGTATTGACGGAAATAATAATAATGATCCATCAACTTTGGGTTTTTATAATGGATTGACGCCCTCCTCATCTTTTCAAAGTACATTGTCAACACCTTCATATTCGTTCACATCTTCGCATGATACTTACGACATTAACAATAACAATCCTGTCTTTGGAAGTAGCAACTTGACTGATTCACCAATTCAAGCTCCGTTTAGCTTTATTGACATCTCCAATCGATACAATGTACACCCACTTCAAATCCAAATTCCACCAGAAAACATTAGTGATTTTGTGCTTGGTCCTAATGCGTTAACTACAAATGTTGATCTTGAGATAGTTAATGATAACTATGGATGTGAAGTGGATCCAATACAATTCCATCATTGGTTAATGCACGGTTCGTTAGATTCATTCAATAGTTCTACATCAATGAATGAACAATATGTAGATTACTTGAAAACAGCATCTATCTCAAATGCAAATGTTGGTAATTACCAACTCAATGCTCCTCCTACTGATGTATCTCAACTCGTACAACCATTTATTGGAGAGCAGGGTTCTCCTTGTTATAATCATCATCATCAACAATAAAAAAACTAAAAAAAAAAAAAATTTTGTATTATAGAACTTCAAAAAAAAATTTTCTTTTTATTTTCTTTTTTTTTATTTTATTCATATTTTTATTCAAAAAAAAAAAACTTTTACACATATATCACCACACAAAAAAGCATTTGCAAATTTTATTCACTTATCCTCTTAAATCATAAAAGCCCTTTGCTCTTTACCTTTTATTGACCTTTTCTTCTCTTCTATATAAATTAATCCCATAAATGTTTTATTTTAATAGCATTTAATTAACTTGTTAAAAGCTATTTAATGAAAAAATTTAGAAAAAAAAAACAACTCTTTAAGTAGTTTTTTTTTAAAAAAAAAAAATAAAAATAAAAGGTTTATAATAAATTAGAAGAGAAAAAGTCATTGATTAATGTGTATTACAACTAATTAGAATGAATGTAGTTGGGTGCATTTGTTTTGCTTTTTTGGCCTGGGACGCAGTATAATTGTTACGCACGTTTTTGTCAATCAATCTTAACTGACGCCGTAGTAAAGTGTTACAGGTAAGCAAGTAAGCAGGCAAGCAAGTAAACAAGTACAAAACAAATATTTATGATAATAATAATAAAAAAAAAAAACAAAGAAATAATCAAAATTAATCGTCAATTCTCACATATTCGTCCGATGTCGCAATGTGTTTATTATTAGCAAGGAAAAAATGTGCAAATTCATAATAAAATTTTTAAAGGATGGATATGAAGAAATTGACAATGACTTGGATTATCGCATTTATTGATTGATAAAATGTTATCGGAGTTGTAAAATCACGCAAGTAAAAACCTTGACGTAAAGTAAAATTGCAAACTCGCAAAATAACATAAATATCTTCAATTTTGCACCAAAAACCAATATCTATTACTATTACGTAGACTATTAATAAACCACGAATATGTTTACTATCAATATTGTGACTAATACTCACAATTGCTTATTTTGTTAATATAACCATGACCAAGAAAGAGCGTAATAGTAAAAGCAAGTAGAAAATAACATTTTATTATAATATGTAATGTTGGCTTAGAATTTGAAATGTTGCTATTTTTCTTTTTTTTAAATACCACGAAAACTGAAGCACTGTTATTTTCCTTAGTCATTATATATAAATTCATTAATTTTTTAGATAACTTTAATCATTTTTTTTACATCAAGTTTTTTACTTGTATTAAGAGTTTTTAATTATGTCAAGTGTTTTAATTACGTCGAGTGGTTTTACTTACGTCAAGGATTTTACTTGTCAAAACGGCCCTGGTGAGAAACTATGTCAATGACTAAAATCAAAAGTTTCGTCGTATGTAATTAAGACAGGCTTGTCGGAATTAAAATAAACATAATGATATAAGTAATTCTGCTTCAATACATTGTAATTGGTTTGTAACTTTGCGGAAAATTTGAATCGATTATTAACGAGAAAAATTAGTAAATTTATTTTTTTTTTTTTTATAAAAAAAAATGTCACATCAGCAACAACAACAGCAGCAATTCCAACAGTTCCAGAAGCTGCAACAAAAATTACAACAACTTCAGCAGCAACTACAATAACAGCAAACTGGTACTCAATTGTTACAACAGACCAATACATATCCAATGAATTCACCATCTTGCCAAAACTGTACTCGTGCATGTGATCAATGTATTGATGCGCATGCTAAGTGTAATCTGAGAGATGGGTTTTCTTTGTGCGATAGATGTATTGATAATAACAATAAGAATTGCAGTTTTAATAAACCTCACGAAAAAAGAGGTCGCAAACCTGGTAGCAAAAACGAACCAAAGGTAAAACATCCTTTTTTCAATATTCTTACTTTGTTCTAAATAGTTATTTATTTCCTTAATTAATAGATGAATGAAACTGAAAACAGCAATTCTAACAATGTCAACGTTGTTGATAATGTTGTCAATGATACTCATTGAAGGTGTGAAGAATTTCATTCAACCAGGAAATGAAGATTTACAAGTCAATGGTATCTTAATTCGTCAGTAGCAATAATAAAAGGAAAACACTATTAACAATAACAATATACCTGATGCGTCATAAACAACGATTATTTGGTTGATAATCGTGCTACACGTGAAAGTACCTCAAGTCTAGGGTTTGAATATTTGCAAGTCTATCATAAGGTATTTTAACTAATTATGGTAGAAGTAATAGCAATAATAATAATATACGTACATATTTTCGCAGGCTAACTTTCAGGGTAAATGGATAAAAATATTAAACTCAATATTATATATATAATTTTCACTTTATACACAATTTTCTTAATAATAAAAGATAATCCTCTACAAGTACAACTGTTTGGAGGTAGTGATGTTATTACAACAGCTTGAACAATGTTATGATCTGAATAATTTTACTATAAAAGAATTGATATTATTGGGTCCATAATCATATATGTATGTGCTGTGCATACACGTACATAATTCTTTTTTATTATTCGTAAATGAATTTTTTAAATGGGTAGTGTAACCGAAAAAATTTTTTTTCCTATCATCTATTTATTATTATTATTATTATTTTTTGTTGGGCAAAATTCATATTAATGATATATACGTCATTTAATCAATAACAAGAAACAAAACCTGCAATTTTCAGTTACCATGCCTAATACTAATACTAAGCTGTGTAGCTTCGAAAAAATTGGCATTTTATCAGTCAGGTATTTTACTCGATATATGGAAATACTAAATACTGTAATGATCGACGTTTAGAAGAAATTTTGATTGGCTAAATTCAGCCGGGGATGATACCCTGTAATGATTGACGAGATTCTGATTGGCTAAATTCTGTGCAGATCTTTTCGTTTTTTGAATAAAAAATATTAATAATGAAGAAAAACATG